TATTTTCTATCAGATTAATCGAAAAGATAATTCCCAACTAATAGATTAGAAAAATAATTATTAGTTGCAGCGCTAAGTGGGACCATGTAGAGTGAATGTAGCCACCTTGAAATATAAAGTTGCAGGTGGGGAGAACTGAAAAGCATTTTTTAACATGCTGTATGATGCTGGCATTACAAGGGCCACAGATGACTAGCAATGAAGGTGCTGAATTTGATTTCTTTTGTGGGTTTAGTAACATTTTAATTTGCAGCTCGGACTACAACTCTATCTTTTCCAAAAGCAATGCATGTGCCTCTCACTAGTTCACTACCTTCACTTTTAAAATGACCCATCAGCATCATTATAGCATAAAAATAAGTAAAATGCTTAGAAAATAAGAGCATTTCTACACATGTGAAATGACATGTTTAAAGCCATATAATTATACTAAGTTTTTGCTGATAGATTTTGCCATTTAAGAGCCATTAGCTAGGGTTGGTGACTCTACTGGAGTTCTGTTAGAAATGATCCATGTCCTTGTGTATTAGTACTTCCCTTCCCTTCTTCTGTTATAGAGATTGGCTGTTTGAACTGGATGCTGCTTTCCAGCGGTAGAAAAGTGCTGCTCACGGGAGTGCTAACCGTAAAACATGCCACCATAACTACAGCAATCCTCTTAAACATAAGAAGGACATTTAATGGATCTCTTATAACACCATTAACATTTACAACTACTAATTGTAAACAATCCCATGGGTCTTAATGAAATGAAAGCGTTTGCAGATTTACTGTAATATACTTAGACCTCCTCTAAATCCTGAAAATCTGTTCGACTCAAATGCCATTTCTTTCAATCTTTATTAATCTCTAAATAAAGGTCACATAGTATAACTTTGAGCATGCTGTGGAAATCATAAGAGAGCCTGCTGAGTGCTAGGACCCAAGAGGATGTTCGTAGCTTGTTTGTGCACATGTCTCTTGAGTCGTTGCTGAATGTTTCTTGGTGTGAAAGATTACAGAGGACATGGCAGCCATCCTGGTTGTGGAATGTATGTGATGCTGTTCCCTTGCCTCTCATAAGGTAAACTGCTGTCTAATCTTATAATTGTGTCTCCAGCAGAAATAAGGACAGGATTCCGTATTGATATTTGTTGTTATTGACCTTTTATAAAAGTTACCTTTTGTCAAGGTAACCTTGTCTGCTTGTGATATACTAAAATATCAAAAGGACAAGAGAAGGCCACGGGTTTGTTTGTGTTAAAGAAGTATTATGACTGCATAGTTGCCTACCATTGGTTTTCCTGTAAAATTGTTAATTGTGGCTTCTTGATATTTGAAACATAAAAGGCTCCAAGTAATCTTGAATGTATCTTGTGTTTTTGCTCCCTGTAGCTAGACTTGAACTGGTCCTGCATAGTATTGGGGGACAACTCGCATACAGCAGCATTCCTTCTGCTCACATTCTGGAAGCTTATATTTTTTTGCTCAGCTTACCTAATTGGTCACTTGTATCTCTAATACATAAGCGATACATTGGAACTGCATGTATTTCATTTTAATATCTCTTTACAGCTTAATTTGTTTAAAATAACTCCTTTTTTTTTTATAGAAAAAACATGAGCTGCCACTGCTGACCTGTTAGGGTTACGCCCCCCTGGCAGGTGACACGGGCTTACCTGAGGGGCGCAGTCTAAGTACCAGCCGGTGTTCACCAGAGCTCCTGATGGTGGAGATGGGCTTGGCTGCTTGCTGGTACCAGGTCGCAGTCCCCAGGGTTGCCCCGGCAACTAGTAATCAGAGGATAAACGCAGGAGGCAAGAGCAAAGTCGGGTCCAGGCAGAAGATAAGGGTGGGCAGCAAGCGAAGAAGGGTCAGACAGTCCATGTCTATAACGAGAAAACAGCAGCACCAGCTCCTTGCAGAGCCAGTGCTTAAATACCCCTCTGAATCAGATATGACACACCCAGCTTCAGGGTACACTGGAAGTCCTGGTCTGGAATCTGTTACTATTATTATCTATACTGGTCTGGACCTTGTAAGATCCATTAGTAGAGAATCTTCTGGAAATCCTGGCTGGGATTCTGAGGAGAATGGTAAACCCTGACAGGTACTCTGAGCTTACCATAACATGACCTTGCTCTGAAAATATTAGCTACGTGACCATAATGGTGGCTGTTAGGCTTCCGTACTATAAAGATACCCTGCTCCCTATTTTTGCTTTCTACATTTCTTGTTGTACGTACATACATACATTTCTATTGTTTTATTTTTAAAGGAGCGCCTTATTAGTTTGTCTTCTATTGGCCCAAAGACCCCTTCATCTATGTGAGGCAAATCTACTTGGAAATGCTGCTGGGCGCTGTCATCTTGTTTGATGGTAGCACTGCCCAGCAGACTGTGCACCTCTGAAGCACTACATGGTCCCTGCATGATCAGGAGTGCCCTTCCTCTGCTCATTGCATCATTTACCATGATAACTCCCCAGTCACATTAAAAGTGACTATGGAAAATATATTATATATACGAATTTCCCCATGCTTAAAAATAATGCAAGATTTCTGAGGTAAATTCACTTTTTACTATCGTTATATTTCATAACACTAGACGTAAATTGACACATGCTACTTTACTAAGACCTGAACTTGAAGCAGGCACGGCCTTTCCGGATATCTAATTGAATTATCTAGCTGGTCAACTTAAACATGGCACTTACCTACGATTCCTTCTACAGGGGATGCCCATTTAGCTCAGATTGTAAACATCCCATCCCACTCATTTGCTTGGAAGCAAACGATTGTTGCCCAGGCCAAATTCTGATGTTCCGAGTGATCTTACCTTATAGGTTTTAAGACACTTCTGATAACCACGTGTGGCGGATCAGAGGAGTGGTGGTTTTGTTGGATGTATTTGGTGATTGTACTTTGTGTTCCTTTGATCAATTGCAGACAAAATTTGGTCTATAAAGAACATATTTCTATAGATGAGGTGTGGGTGTTGTCACAGCGCTAAAGGTCTAAATAAATGAAACATAAATATATAAATATTAAATATATAAGGATTTACAGTGAGAAACCACCCGGTGGAAAAGGTCTTCAGAGAGACCTAATGATATGAACGAAATATGACAGACAGATATGTCCGTTGAAACCTAAACATGTGCTGATGTGTAATCATGAAACTCCTATAAACTATATTCCCCAATAGGGTACCACGGTGAATAAATACAGTGTAACAGGGTTTGCAAACCACAAAGTTAAAAAAATACAGAATAAAACGTGTAAAATTGACTAATAAATATAAGACCAATCACAAAAAATGTCTTATAGGTGCATCATATCGTGCAAATAACAAATAAAATGAAAAACTGAAAAAATCAGTGGAACAAAAGCATCAATCAAAAATGTAATGATATTGAATAACCACATAATATTTATATATTTGTTTCATTTATTTAGACCTTTAGCGCTGTGACAACACCCACACCTCACCTTTTCCACTTCTCATAGCAGCTTTAGGCTTACTACTGATAGTCCACTTTCCATAAGCGCAGATCTTTGTTGCAATCATATTTCTATAGATATCTACAATTTGAGACCTGCATTTAATTCCCAGTTTAGAGTTGATAGGGTTCGGATCTCAAACTACCCATTTATTGGCATTTTCAAGTGCAAAGGTCCCAAAGGTTTACTCTCAACTCTGTATTTTCAACTGTTGTGCACAAAATTAGGGAGATCTCCTCTAGCGGTAAGATCCAAATGGCATTTATGTATCCCATCCATGTCAGATGAGGATTGCGAGTACATTTGTTCTCCTCGCCTAACAGTTTCCCTAGCTGTAAACAGTAAAATGATCCAACTCTACATTATACATGAAGCATTCCTATCGCCAGTGCAGCTCTGTGGGATGGGGCATATGCCCACGTCAAATTTTTTTGGACGTTTCCAGACAAATGCAGATTTCCTTCACACACTTTGGCATTGTCGGGTGATTTCTGATTATTGGAGGCAGGTAACTGCTACATTTTTATCACTGCTATCAAGGCCGGTCCCCTGTATGCCAGCAGTATGAATTTCTGTTCTCCTTAATGAGGAGATATGGCCTAGGTACTCCAGACCTGTTTTTGAGGGAAACATTGTTTTTTTTTTTTTTTGTCTATACTGCTTGTCTTTTGCACTTGTAAAACACTGTACTTTGAGTATTATATCTGATACAATTATCTTAGACAGATTTTGTAACAATGACAATGTTTAATGTTTGTTTTATATGTTTGCAAGTTACTGTGCACAGTCATTCGATCTATCACTTACTCTACGACTGTAATCTTGCTTGTTCTGTGCAATAAAATAAAACACTGCAAGTATACATAAATAGCTGTTGATCTTTCAGAAAGCCCTGTCTGAGTTCTCCCCTGCTGGGTTCCATAATAAATCTTTCTCATATCCATAAACAAAAGAAAGGTGTTCTGTAGTCCACAGAGTGTGACTGGGTAGCATTGATCAAGCAAAACAAATGGGTAGCATTGATAACGCGGCCTAGGATTTCAGTGTAGCAGAGGTAGTTTGTTAGCAACCCAAATGGGATGTTAGGGAAATGTGCTTGTAATGGAGAAATTAGTTGAATGTGTTTTTTTTTTTTTTTTTTTTTATTACACACATTTTTACTAATTTAAAAACCCTGTTCTGATAAATATTTAAGCAACAGTTATGTGAAAAATTATGTACACCCCATGGAAATTGACTTTTTGGCATAGCTAGATCCTCATTAAAAGAATAGTTTATAGATAAAGGTAATATACTTGATTTAAGTTGTTGATTATTGGCAGTGTGGTGCCTCATTATTATCTAAAGCAGTCCTAATACTTCTCAAAACTTAACTTGTAAAAAAAAAAAAAGGCTTATGGGTGCATATATTTTGTATACAGCTTTTTTCTATTTTCAATAGACTTAACTTGTAGAATTGAACTTCTCTCTCTAGCGTCAGTAATCTGACCCTGCTCATGTGTTCTTGCTGACTGACAGAGCAGGCTGTGGATCATCTTGCTGGTCCTGTGTCATGAGCGGTTTCATGCGGCTGGCCACAATAACATTACCATTTGGACTCCTGTTTACAAGAGCCATGGCTTGGACCTCAAGTGGAAAAACACACAGCGATCTTGTTAACAATCTTAGAAGTAAGTCGCAGTCTCTGTTTATTTGAAGAATGCAATAAAAGTAGGTACAATTTTTTTATAAAATATCTTTAAGAACTGAATGTGCTAGCTGTGACCCCCTTTACTGCTGTGCCCAAATGTAAATCTGCTGATTTTTAGTGAATCAAGTGAATAAACGTTCGTCTGAGGATCTCCATTTAAAATAATGAGTAGTCTGTTAGAATTGATTTCAGTGTTCACATCTTTTACATCAACCCACTGTTTTTAAGAACATGCTTAAATGAGGCAATCAGCAAGTGAACTGCTAATGTTATACAGGAATTAAGGCAACTGTGTTGAAGTCAGAAAGTCCCCTCAGTTTACATAAAAAAACTTTTTTTTTTTTTACCCCATGCAAACAGTTTAAAATTGCAAGTTAAAATAGTGCGTGCATCTGCACTTGCAACACTATGTGCCTGCTGTGCAGGCATAGCAGAGGGACTTGGATTCTCTATGACCTCTTGGCTCCAGCCTTGCTGGCTGCTCAGCCCAGTGATTATAAACTTTCCATATCTCCCAGCATTATGCTCTTCCATTTGCATAAGGGCTTGTTCGCACCGAAAGCGTGTGCGTTCTAGAGCCGTAGCTGCTTTCGGTGTGAACAAGGCAGTAGGGGCAGATACCATCACTACACAGAACAGTGTGGCCTGTACCAGTCCAGCCCTGTGTTTTCCTTTCTCATTTGACAAGACATCTGCATTTTTTAAAACGAGTACCAAATGGCTGATAAATGGACGAGAGAGGAGGATTATGGTGGGTAAAGAACTGACCTGGTCCTTGGCAAAGAGTGAAAGTGATTCTATAGAGAACTCCCTATGAGAAAATGATTACATTACTTCCCTCAAATAGCACCCCTTCATTACCTCCATCTAGTGCTGGTGAACCGACAAAGGAAGATGACTGATGGATAAGGTATTTGTAAGTGCATACATACACTATTTTCACCATTTTTGAGCATTTGCATTAAAAAATATGTTTTCATTTTGCTATAGGGTATCTATCCCTAAAAACAAAATGCCATATTTCAGCTTACCACTCCTTGGATATGGTGGAACCGGATGATCCTGCCATTAACACACTTCCTGTCCTAGGGTGACAACGCTCACCCACTCTATTGTTGTGATGGAAGAGCAGCATTGCCATCCTAATACAGGAAGAATGTAAGGATTACAGAATATATTGCCTTTCCATCTCCATAACCTATAGAGAAGGTGTTCTGTAGTTCACATAGGCAATTTAGGCAGGAAGATTAATATAATACTGCAGAGTGCTCAGGACACAGAACAGCACCGGATATCTGGCAGAATCATTGGGTAATTTTTACACTTATTTAAAATGTATAACAAAATGCTTTAGGGCTGCAACCAACTAATCGATAATGAGAATAGTTGTCAACTATTTTCATTGTCGATTAGTTGGTTGGATCCACTAGCTCTCCTCCACGCTAGAAGGGGGGCACAGCAAACAGTGGATGGGTGCAATAGTCAGCCTGCTATTGGCTTTTGCCCCAGCCCCACTACCTGCTGTATTTACATTCAGCTGCCGTCTGCGGAATCTTGCCACTGGCAGCTGTCATTCCCTGGCTGAAGCTATAAAAAAAAAAAATAATAATTATGAAAAGTGGGTGAAAAAAAATCATTTTCGGTTTTGGCCTGAGAAATTCTGGTGCGGAAGGTGCGTTGCAGTGTCATTAGTTTCAATGGCACCCCAAACACGCCTCTCACCCACAGTGTGATCGCCAGCACTGGAACGCATGGTACCGCGATGCCGTGCATTTTCAGTGCAGTACGATTGCAAAAAATTGTGTATGCAGTTTTATTCTGAAGTAAAATTTGATGTTTGTAACACTGCATTTGTGTATTTTATTTTAAATTTAAGGATGTATTTATTTTAGGAATGCGGAAATTTAACGAATAATTCCTCGATTAATCGTTAATTTTTTTGATCGATTTAAAATTCTTTTGATCGGTACTCACCTCTCCGTCGGCTTCCGGGAGTTCCATCCTCCCCCCTTCCCCAAGTGGCTCCGTCGGCTAATGAAGGGAAGGGGGGAGGAGTCCGGTGATGTCGATCTCCGTGATGTCACCGGACCCCTTCCCTTCGTTAGCCGACGGAGCCACTTGGGCCGGTTCAGAACCATGAACTTTGTTGAAAGTGAGAAATAATTTGCAAACGCAATGCAGAAGATTTATCAAGCAAGACAGTGAATGAATTAGTTGTGTATATATAGTGCTATATCTAGCTACCGTTTTCAGCCAAGGAATTGAATGGTCAGGACCAGTACATAGAGATATATCCATGTATACAAGCCCTAAAACCACACATGGACAGTTCATCTCTCTTTGGGGTTCCATTTGCACAATTTTCCTGTCCTTTTGTTGCTTGTTACCCTAGTGGATGGAACCTGACTGCAACACCTACAATGAAACTGCAATGACAGATGAATCTCATCCTTCTGCATCTGCTATATTGAGGAACTGTCACCAGCCAGATGATGTGCAGAGAACTTTTTCTGCAGCAACCAGGACGGGCGCGTTGACATGCGAATTCCTGGAATTCCCAAACATTCTCAGATTCTATCTTGTTGATGTAACGTTTTTTCTTTTAGAGAATGGAGTGATCCGGTCTCAGCGCGTGTTTGATGCTCTGACAGAGACAGACCGAGCACTTTATATCCAAAACTCCCCATATATGGATTCCCCACAAAGTATAGGTAGGGCACCTGCCTATTACACACTGTGTCTAATGTTGTCCGTTTCACACATTATTGTATTCATTATTGATTATCACACTTATACATACTGTAGACTAGTTTTAGAATATTAGTACTGTTAATTGTATCATCTTGTATTACTTTGTCGTGGCCCCTAAAATCAGTTAAAAAAAAAAAAATGGTCAAAAGCAACAGCAAGAAAATATTTGCTAGAAAATGCTGAGATTTTCTTTTCTTTTATTGGATAAAAATGTAAGTATCAATACAGGGCAGAAGACGGGAATCACCAGCACTCAGTAATATATCATTCAATATATCCGTTTATTTGGACAAACCGTCACAATGAAAAAAGCCAACGTTTAGGGGGCCACACACGGTCCCTTCATCAGGGCAAGAAGATGCGATGTATCAATACAGGTTTTTATTTATCTTCTGTTTGTAAGTTGTTTCAAAACAAACTTTTTGTTTGTTTGATACAGGCAGTCCCCAAGTTACATACATCCGACTTGCATACGACTCCTACTTGCAAACGGAGGCTATTACTGTACAGCAGGTGTAGTTGTAATGCTATTATGCTCATGCTGACGAGTAGTGCCTGCCTTTTTGGGTCTGTTCACTGTACTGTATGTACATTACAGGAAGTCGGCTCTTGTTAGATGTGCAGACGAGGGGTGCCTTCTTATTCCGGGTCACTGTGAGGTCTTTATTGCTGTCTGTATCTTCATTAGAAAGAATTAGTCTCACTTCCTGTCCTTGAGACAACAGGAAGTGAGGGAAAATCTACCCCTTGGAAGGGAAATTCACTCCTGTTAGAGTAATCATGGGGAAAAAGGTGCCTCCACTGAATCTTTATCACCAATCCTTGTTTCCACGACAACCCAAAATTTTTAATCCAATTGTCACAGGGACAGAAAGTGTGGTGAAATCTTCTGAACAGGGGCACACACAGCAAAACAAACGTTACAGGGGGTTAACCCTTCCCTATGCTATCCAAAACAAAAAAATTTGGGCTGGAGTTGCACTTTAAAAATGTACTTGTTCCAACTTGCATACAGATTCAACTTAAGAACAAACCTACAGACCCTATCTTGTTCGTAACCTGGGGACTGCCTGTACTGATGAATACATTTGTTGCCTAAATAAACACTTAAAAATCTGAGATATCTGCTGCACTTTAATCTTTTGTGCAGACAAATTATTTGAAGGTTTGGATTTAATGAGGTCACTTTTTGATGTGCGTTGTTATAAGCATATGAGTAAGGATGACAGAGATATGACGCTAATGCTAAATTTAATAGCACTGCGTAAGAAAATGTCTTTACCATTAATCTGCTCAACCTAAACGTTTCTAATATTGTGTTGCGTTGGTGTACCACCACAGTGAATGGCACTGTGCTGCTGTAAGCACATTGCGGTCATTTGCAGTAAAACACGCATTTCTGTGCATTTTCATAATGTACCTATCCAGATGCATAATGCACCTATCCTATCCCTAATTTTCTGCAAGAGAGTTTGAGCAGCAGCAAGATGTATTAATTAGAACAGCCTCAATGTAGACAATTCTGGATTTCTCCTGGCAAAAAAAAAAATCTGTATAATTTTAAAAGGTGCTCATATTTAGAAAACATTTTGTTGGATAGGTTCACTATTTGCAAAAAAGGGGCAAAAGCAACTTTAAAGGTCAATTGCTGTCCAATCACATGTTGAACCCCTGTTACTGTATATTAGAAAAGGTTTTACAACGATCGCATCGTTGTATGGAATAATTGTGAGTTCGTTCTTCTCTCCTGCTACTCATGTTTTGCACTGGCTCTGAATGCCTTGATCTTTTGAAATCTGTCAATAAATGTATATGGCCAAATATTTTATACTCTACTAGTTCAGCACTTTCTATGAGTGGCATGTTGCTGGTACATTACAACTTTAAAGTAAACCTTTCCTAAGAAAATTTATGGAAGCTGCCATTTGCTGACCTTTTTTCTTAAAGTGACACTAAACTCGGGAGTTAAATCTTTAAAGGAGAACTATGAGGAGTGCTTTTCACTCACCTCATAGTTCTAGCCGACCTGTGACAATGAGACTGTCACAGGTCGGCTCAGTAGATCGGGAGGTGAGCGAACACATACCGGCACTCCTCAATTTAGTGTCACTTTAAATTGCTGGTTGCTGGGCTGTTAGGTTGACTGTGGCTTTAACACTTTCTGAGTGAGAGCCAGAACAAATTTGTAGAACAGGAAAGTAACAATGATGCAGAATAAGAGGTCATCAATGGCAGCCTTCTTGTTTCTTTGAGTGAAGGGTTCCTTAACGTTTTGAGACATCTGTCTAGCCATACCTCAAGTATGCACTCTCCATCAGTAAATTCCATGAATTTAGTCAATACTAGGAATAAAAATTGATTTTTAGCCATTTGCTATTTATATCATCAAAACATTTGTCCTAGTTAGATGACTGAATTAAATTGTTAGTTTTATTATGGAATTCACTTTTTTCAAATGATTTGCTTTTAAATATTTGTCCTAGTTAGATGACTGAATTAATGGATTTTAATAGTGCCCATCTTTTCTTGCCCACAGGATACAGGGCTACAATTAGTGCACCCCATATGGTGAGTGCCCAATGCATTATTTCTATTTTTAACTTTAGTGGCGAAAATAAATAGTTTGTGCCAAAAAGATCCTCATTATAATGCACCAACGTTTTGAATTCTAACCAGTATTTCTAAAAGGTAAAGTGGATCTAGCAACAGATATATTTGTATTATAAAGTGCATGCCGGCTAAGTAATGTGTAAAAGGTATGTATTCCCTCTTTCAGAGATCGCAGTACTGCCACTGCCAATGTCTTCATCTGTTTTTCTTTCCTGAAATACAGAGCCATCTTTGTTTAGGCACCATTCACGGTCGGCATCTGTTTTTGGACCGATATGCTGGCTCCTAGATGACACAATCATGTAAATTCTAATACAGGTGCAGTTTTCACTTTGTGACTTGCAACAAAGTTGCAATCTGATCACGGGAGGAAAAGCTTTCTCCTGCCTGCAGTAGACTGATGACATCATCTCAGCCTAGGCAAAGCCATTTTGCTAGGGATGAAAGTGCCTAAAAATGGGAGAGCTTTTTTGGAAAATAATTTTTTTTGCTGTATATTTTGATGTGAAGACTTTAATCATGCACGCTTGTAAAGTTCCTGAAATGTCCACTTTACACAATACATGAACATGGTATTGCTTTTATTAAAGTGTCTCCATGCAAAATAGAAAAAATATAGAAAGTTTTCAATCACAATATACTTCTTCTTCTTTTTTTTTTTTTTTCTTTCTTACTCAAAGTACTAAAGTTATTACCTGAAGATCCTGCTGTTTCTCTTAATATGCAACTAATTCCACAATGATTGTTATTCTGAGTCTTTTTTTTCTGTGGTATTCATGTGTCTTGCAGCATGCACATGCCCTGGAAGTATTAGAAGATAAATTGGTTGAGGGGGCAAAAGTATTGGACGTTGGCTCTGGGAGTGGATATCTCACTGCCTGCTTTGCAAGAATGGTTAGTAAGTTTTCATAAATGTTTTATATTTAGGTAAAATAGCTATAAATATGTAAGAGATTGTGCGACAAATTGATGATTTACAGGGTGAAGAGTTTGGAGAAGTGAACAATCTAGGCCAAAATGGCTGATTTGGAAAAATGTACAAATTCAGCTGACTTTCCAGGTCAGCTATGTTGTCCTAGATTGTTCACTTCTCCTGCCTTCTCAAAACTCAACCCTTTTGTAAATGACCCTGTTAGCCTGGCCATATAAGGGCAGATGACTAGACTGAGAACAAGGTTAAGAGAGGAGAGAAAAAGACTTGCGAAAAACACTAGGCTTGCTAAGGCCTAACTATAGAAAAATTTAATATATAAGTAATAGTGAGCTATCCTAGTTAAAGCGGAACTCCAGGCAGATGTAAAATTCCAAAATTAATTATATAGATATTTTTTTTTTAGCATCAGTCTAAGTATTTGACTTTAACTTGGTATCAGACTCTTAGCAGTCCATGTACAGCAGAGCTGGAAGGAGTATTAGTACAAGAATCCAATCAGTTGCCGTGGTCATGTGCTAATAAGGAACCTGCTGATAGGAGGAGAGCGAGCAAAGCGACAAAGAAATTAACTCATCAGTCTGCTCTTCTCCCTTCATTGTCCAGTCACATGTTGGAGGGACCAGGCCTGTATGTGGAACTTAACTGCTGCATAGAAAAGTCAGGTTTCCTGCCCTCGGCTCAGCTCCGCTCACGGTGTTCTCCATGCAGAGAGTGGTGACTGCCAGTCACCACTCCCCACAGGCATACCCCCTTCCCCTATCCCTGTTCTTCCAGTGCTCATTAGAGGGACAGATCGGGGAGGGGTGGGCACAGCAGGCTCTGTCTCTAGAGAGCTGTCAATCAGGCAATGCCAAACACACATTGTTGATTAAAAAGGTACAAGTTATCGGTATTGAAATTTCTCAGTTTGGATTTTGGATGAATACAACAAAGGTACCACAAGATTCTACTTTTCAGGCTGATGGCTTATTAAAAATGTTATTTCTTAGGTAGGCCCCACAGGAAAAGTTGTTGGCATTGACCATATTGATCAACTTGTCCGTGAGTCAATTGAAAATGTCCAAAAGGATGATTCAACATTACTGAGCTCTGGTCGTATAAAATTTGTAGGTGAGTATATGTCACAATTGACTTGTGCAACAAATTGTTTAGCTACTGTATTTCAAAACATGATTCCCAAGCTATAGTATTATAAAATATGTGCTATATACACAGAATCACAACTACAGGGATCAGTTGTACCTTTTTACTTCTATCTGCCCCACCTACAAACTTGCCCAGCGGTATCAGGATAGGTTGTGCAGAAGTATCTAGTTTGCTGATTGTAAATAATTTAAAGAGAAATATGGCGACATTTATTTGATCAATACTCATAATGTGAAGCGGTGGGGTTGGTTAACCCTGGGTCTCATTTACATTTAACATGATAATTACCTGTCGCACAGTAGAACATTGCTTTCTATGGTAAGCACATCTGCTGTCCACAGCAAAGCGTGGAATCCACCTGTAATAATGTTATATTAATAATGTATATATTGGGTACATACTGAGTTTCACTGTGTTATACCAAACAATGGTATATATATATTGGCACTATTGTAGCTGTTACTACTGGAATTTACATTTGGGTCTTTTTTTAAAAAAAAAATCAATATTGTTACCCAAGATTCACACTTTTTTTTATTTAAACGAGAACTATGGTGTAAGTGTTTTTCCCCATAGTTCTCTTTAGGGTCACGGGAGGACATATGCTAACCTCCTCCCATGACCCAAAGCTCAGTATATCGCGGGCTATTGCCCGCAATATACTGAGAGTGCCACAGCCAGGACAGATGCTGACAATATTGTCAAAATCCACCCAGCTGCGTCATTACATGGCGCCCGGCTTCCTGATTGGCCAGCTTCCCGAGCAACTGGGAAGCCGGGCAGCGTGTAACGACTCGCTGCCCAGCTTCCTGATTCCAAAAGTATCAGGCTGGGCATCGGAGCATTTGGGAGAGTACAAGTAGTCGCCCAGATACTCTGTATCGCTGCATCCCTAGTCATTATGACCAAGATTTATTTATTGCAGGTATTTATATGGAGCTGACACATTAAGCAGCATTTTACATGCACATTCATATCAGTCCCTGCCCTCAAGGAGCTTACAATCTAAGGTCCCTCTCTAACATGCATACATACAAGGGGCCACAATTTAGACTGCAGCTAATTAACCTATCAGCATATCTTTGAAGTGTGGGAGGAAACCGAAGTACCCAGAGGAAACCCACGCAAGCACAGGGAGAACATGTAACTATTTGATCAACTTGATAAAATTAACAATATTCAGTATTAATGTTTTTAAAACCCTTTTCCTATGCATACCTTTTTTGAGTATATATGTAAATGGGGACATTTGTTGATAATATGTTGTAGGCTTCCTAGCTGCAATGTTGCACAATGGATGTGCATTAGTGCTCTTACTGCAATTATTATGTGTGTTGGCCAACTCCATGAAAATGATGCACTCCCTACATGACTAATATCTTAACAGTTGCTGTTGTGATTGAGCAATGCACTAAGTCAGTGAGATCTTTACAACATTTAAATAAAATTTACAAGAATAAGGAAGAAAAGCTTGTAAAAATATAAAAGTCATATCAAACATTACTTTAAGTTAAACATTACAAAGTAAAAACTCAAAATATGGGCTTACTGAGACCACTATTTCCCTTTAACTGCAAAAGTATGTTTCATGTTTGTGCGATTTCCATATGAATTGACTATTTTTGTTTTGCTTTGAAAAGAAACCTAAAAAAAAATCACAGTTGACGTCACAGCACTTCTTAGTTAGTCACAATGCATCATCGTGTTGCAGTGCTCTGCTATGGAGTGCTCTCCTACTAACAGCTGCAGTCCAGTACTAAGCCCAGGAAATGAATCGATCAGCAGTTGGGCTTAGTGCTAGACTGTGGCTGTTACTAACATATAGTATATCCAGCTTGATTGCAGATTGGAGCTGCACAGTGCACGTGCTGGGACAAATAACCACTAAGCCTGCGTTATTTTAAAACGGCACCTGGGACTTCAGCAGTTAAAAAAAATAAACTCCATTTTTTTTGTTCTTGTTCATTAAGGGACACAGGAGTCGGGTATTCACAGACAATTGGGTTCTCCTGTCACCTACAGGAGGATTTGGATCTTCGCAAACCTATTTGTTATCTCCAACCAGTTGACTCTCTCCTGCTTTCAGCAGCTGGTTTGTGACTACCCATGGATCTTATCGGGTGTTCTCTAATGAGGTTGTCTCTGTTAAGCAGTGATCACACGTGCAAGGACAGTCCCACTACATCGAGTTTCTCTAGCTCACAATCCTTTTAATGGTTCAGGGGCAGCTTGCTATGTCCCGCCTTATGGTCTTGACATTGTTTTTTTTTGCTAGCAGACCCTGCTTTGCAACCTGCCATAGCTGTGATGTCAGTCTATCAAACCTTAGGCAAATATACTAAACTTATGTCCAAGGATCCAGCTACTATCCATACTTACCCTGCCTAAAATGTCAGTCTGTTGACCAGCAATGTTAAAAAGTGCATGCTTTTGACAGTGAACATCATTTTTGCGTTTCTTAGCACATCCTTAGGAAGGACAGCATGGGGGTAAAAGTACTAATTTTCCCCAGTTGTAGATGCCTAAGCCTCAAACTGGGGAAAACTCCTTCCCCTCCTGAGGCCAAGAAGAGTTCCTTTTGTTACTGCCAGGCTTCAACTCTAAGCTAGGGGATGAGTTCAATGGGCAAACCTTTTGGCTTCCACATCCTCCAAACCTTCAGATAAGTCCTATTTGGCATTAGGGGATGGCCCCACTCTCCAAAAGTGGGGGGAACATCTAATAGCCTTTGCAAACATCTGGTCAGAAAGCATCTTGGATGCCTAGGTAAGAGACTTGATTTCCAAGGGGTAACATGCTAGAGTCTTGCCCTCTGCCCCCCCATCCGTTTTATGTTGTCCTACTTGCCTGCGTCTCCGCAGAGTAGCAAACCTCAGTGCTGCTCTTTTGAACTAATGAGGTATTGCAATTTTTCCAACAGCTGAAAGGTTTCAAGGTTTTTACTCCAACCTTTTCATTGTTTCAGAGACAAAATGGGGCTTTATATGCCTGCAATCAAGTCTAAAAGTTTCACATAGAATCTGCCAGGTCTGTCATAGCCTTTTTTCCATCAAGGAGACTTTCTAGCCTCTGTGGACATTAAGGATGCCTTCTTGCCTTTCCTCATCTTTCCAGCACATCAACACTACCTACTTTTTGCTGTGGATGCTTAACACTATCAATTAGTTGCCCTGCCATTTGGTCTGCCTTCCACACCACAAGTCTTTACAAGGGTATTGGCACCGGTGCTAGCCTTACTATGCTCCCAGGGTATACCTGGACTACCCACTACTTAGTGAATAGTTAGCAAATTCTGACCAGCAATGTGATGGGGACAGTTCAGACCTTACAGGGGTTCAGTTGGATGCTGAACCTTCAGAAATCTCCAGATGTGGACCTCCTGGCTTACAGGTTCAGCAACAAACTAGACAGATTTGTCTCCAGATGCAGAGATCCTCTGTCGAAAGCAGCTGGTGCTCTGGTGACTGTGGGATCAGTACAGCCTGATCTCTGCCTTTTCCTTCTCTAAAGCTGCTTCCTCATTCACTCCATATTGTCGAGGTGGAACGTATTTGGGTGGTCCTCATAGGTGGATATGGTACTCCTATCTCATCAAACTTCTGACACACACCCTGTGGGCTCTTCCAGATCAACCGTGTCTACTATACAAAGGATGGCTTTACCACCCTGCTTCACAGGCACTGGCTTTAATGGCATGGCTGTTAAAGCCCAGGTCTTGAGAGACTGGCATCTCTAAATTAGTAATACCCACACTTTTAAAAGTTAGGAAATCTACATACAGCAAAGTTTAACGGCACACATGGAAGGCTTTTTTTTTTTGCCTGGTGTGAGGAAAGTTTTCTGTAGTCAGAACTTTTTCTGTCCTTTCTGTAGTCAGACCTGGATCAGCATTTGGCCCGAAGTGCATTGAAGGGTAAATCCTGGGCCTTGAATTTTCAGTTCAAACACTTGGTGGCATCTACTGTGTTTTGTGTAAAGGATTCACTGCAGAGGTTACTGTAAGTTAACAGAGTTGTCAGTCAGCTGGCATTTTAGATTAATGAACCGTGGGTTGTGCAGGGTGAGGCTGAGTGCGATACGTCACAATCCGCAATTTAAAAAAAACCTTTTGAAATTTTCAGGGATATTCCCCTTTCTGCACTAACTCATAAGGTTGTGTTTCTTGTTGCTATTCCCCTCTGCAAGGCGTGTCTCAGTTGACAGCCTTGTCCTTGTCCAGTGTTCATTATACAGAATGACGGAATTATCCTGACACTGGCCGTTACGAACCGGAACGATCGTGACGGGTTAATTTGGTCATCCGGCCGGGAAGGAGTTAATGAAATACATTTAAATATGATTATGTGTTTTTAACCATATTTCTTTTATTTTAAATTTAAATGTACTTTACAAGGAATGGACACTGGTCCCTGTGTGTGTGCTTTTGCATGTATTTGAAGATCACCTATCGGATATGGGTAGATGCCTTCCTCAATGAAGACTGTTTTATGAAGACTCGATTGAACAGTTGCCTAAGGCGCCAGTTTGGTTTTCCTGCATGTGGTTTGGTCATTTCCTGCTGAAATGGCAGAAACTCAATCTGCGTATGTCACTGCCGTGGAACAAGCATGCAGTCAGGATTCCTTAGCTGCATACTTGTATCAGGTCAGTGACGCACATTGTTGAAACAAGAGGGCTAGAATTTCAGCTTTGTCAGCAGGACCCGGCCAAAATTTGTCCATATGTGTATGGCCAGCTTTAAGAAGGTGGTTTGGGGTTCTGGGCACACAGGTCCTAGTGTAATTAGAATAAATTTAGCTCTGATTGTAAGAGAAAAGGAAAACCCATGTGACTTTTTATTTTATTTTGCATTGTTCTAGTGGGTGATGGTAGATCTGGCTATCCTGAAGAAGGCCCATATGATGCCATTCATGTAGGCGCAGCAGCTGCTAAGATTCCCCAGGCAGTAAGTATGGAAAAATCTTCATGTATAATTGTTTGCCTGAATTGTATCTGTAGAGTGGAATGACCTGAGCATCAAAATATGTCGTCCTGCTCTCCTGTTTTCCTAAAGCTTAGGGAATGGAAATGCACTGTTCACAGATGATCGTGTGTGTGTATATATAAAGATCGATAGATGGATAGATAGATAGATATAAAATGATAAATAGGGAAGCAGGTTGTTTACCACAACAGTAGAAGTGATTTTTTTCTGAAGATATGGGTAAACAACGCGACTTAACAGCCTTGAACGTGGGATAATTGTTGGCGTGGAGCCATGGAGCGAGTATCGGCAAAACCGCAGAATTCGTTAAATGTTCAAGAGCAGCTGTTAAAAGTGTTTTTAAAGACTGGACTGTCAGCATTTACCTGACTGTTTTGTTTTTGTATTCTCAATTGTGCTGACGCAAACCCCTGCGAGGGAAAGTCTTTTGTTTTTTGTGTTTTGATGCAAATAGTGAGGAGTAAATTAAAAGTGTGTGTGTATTATAATATATCATGTATTTATTTTTTGCAAAAAAAATCAATTTCTCCTTGCTACTTTTAGAAGGTTAGGTGACAGGCTTGGGTGTTTAGAGCAGTTGAGCATAATTTAATGTAAGAGATAACAGCTCCTGAGTTTGGGGAGTGTTGGAAAGTGACATCACTCCAGCAGCAAAAGTTCTGCAGGAGCTGTGGTCTTTTTTTGTAGCTTCTGCTCGCAGCTAATTTACCTTCCCCTGCTGTCTGGAGGGCAACATTTGTATATGATCCTGTCTTGACCTAAAGGATTTATAACAGAACATCACTGTAATGTACACCAGACTTTTCCACAGACTAATTTATTTACAGTAGCCAAAGCCTAGATATATGAACAGGATGTTTGTACATGTGGGCAAGGATATATAAGTGTGGAGGCTGGGGTTTATGTAGCCCTTTAAAAATACCCTAAAATATCTCTAAATAATGTTAGTAAATATATTTCCTA